TTTACAACGTCATTCCTATTGCACTAACGTAAATTCACTGTGTGTTGGTGACTGGGCGGAGCGTAAGAGCACAGTGGCTGAATGCGCGTACGCTATTGGTTGCCTAAGGCCCATAGGTTTAGTACATGCATATGTGTTTGTACGGCGTATGCATGTTCACGTGAGGGCTATTCACGTGATCGCGCGGAGGAGTTGTGCTGTGGACAGCGGAGGGTACGGTCGTGTATTGCTCGCGTTCTGTGTTTTGGGTAATGCTGACGCGCACTGTGTAAGGCGCTGGCCCTGACTGTGCTGAAGTTACGCTGTGTGATGCTGACGCGCAGCCGTACAAGTGAATGTACGGTACGATGCTGACGCTAGCTTGCATGGGTAAGGCGTAAATCAGGTTAAGGCTGACAGCGTGTATTACTTACATTGGCGTGCATTGCTTACATTGGCGTGTGTTATTTACATTGGCGTGTGTTATTTACATTGGTGTGCATTGTTTACTTAGGTACATTGTTTACTTAGTGTGCATTGTTTACTGAGTGAACGTTGCTGACTTAGTGTGCATTGTTTACTTAGTGTACATTGTTTACTGAGTGAACGTTGCTGACTTGGTGTGCATTGTTTACCTTAGTGTACATTGTTGACTTAGCCGTGCATTGTTTACATTAGTGTACATTGTTGACTTAGCAGTGCATTGTTTACATTGGGTGCATTGTTCAAGCGTGCGCATTGCTGCTTAGTTGAGGCCGCAGTTAACTCCCAAGTGTAATTGAGTGACCCTGATAATTAACAACCCCATCAAAACTCAATCACTACTGCATATTTCTTGATTATTGTATAATAAATTACGATTATATTTGTGGTGCCAACATTCCTGTTGTCCATGTGTATTTGTTGTTGGTTTATTGTGCAATTAACAGTGGGTAATCACAATCATCATAATCGGCAGTATATTTCCTCCAAAACGGACCTGCTCCCTAGGCTTTGAGGTCGCTCTGAGTGGTCTCTCGTCTTGGGAAAGCTTGCGTTCGGGAAGATCAGCTACACTCTAATAGGTGTCAGACTTGGTCCCAACGAACTTAGGTTTGGCCCGGGGAGATCCCTGCCACACTATTGTATGTTGTTGATTGTACAATGGTATTCACGAATAGTTTACCTACAGCGAGCCAGAGAGCTTAGAATCTATTCAAGTTCAGCATTCCTCCTTCCAACATCACTACCCCATTTCCACCATTGACTCTCACAGACCTTGATGCAAATTCTGTCAACAATACCCAATGAAAAAGCTGCCACAAACAATCCCATATTTGGTGCTGCCCCGCTACTTACATGTATGCCTTACGGATAATATACACATACATGTGCCACACCCTGCAGGTAAAACTTGTATACACTCAACCAAAAAAGAAAGTCCCCCCCCCCTCAAGTTTGTTTGTCTTTAACTCAAGAACTACTAGGCACCTCTCGCTCAAATAACCACTAATCAATACAGAAAGTCCTTAGCAATCCAGCCATACTCTTAATTTGGCCCCAAAACAGTGATATAATGTGTACACATTTATACAACTTATGACAAATAATACCGAAACAAATTTGCACTTTTGTACACCTGCAAGTTGAGTGTAAACATTTTGTCTCGAACGCTCTTTCATCTCTTCCAACAAAAAATTCTTAAAATTGATTTCTTCACATTTTTTCACCATTTCCTTTACTGCATAAATGTACTTTGCATGTTCTTTGAGGTTCAGTAAAGGAAAGGGTAAAAACATTACCAACAAAACTTTTTGTTGGAAGATTGCATTAGAGACGAAATGTTCACACTCAACTTGCTTGTACACTTTGTGTACGGACATTATCGCTATTTTGTGCCAAATAAAGAGTATGGCTGGATTGCTAAGGAATTTCTGTACTTGTCATTATTTGAGCAAAAGATGCGCAATAGTTTTAGAGTGGACAAAAAGTATTGGGGGGATTTCTTTTCTGGTTGAGTGTATGTGTATAATGGCGATATGGAACTATTGCCTGTGCTTTTCATTTCGTTTGGAGCACTCACATATTAAGCGAAAAATACTGTATTAGGCAAACCATGGACCACAATGGTCCGCGGGCAAACTCAAACAAGTTTTTCTTTGGTAATGAGTGATTGGCTCACAGCATTAGCTGTTTCGCTGAATAAAGAACAATTAGTTAACAGAAATTTCCAACGGTGCTTCTTAAGACGTTGGAAAGGCCTTCTTTTGTTGCTTTCTTTAAAATGGCAGCTTGCCAGAAAGAATAATTTCACAGGGAGTTTAGTCCCCTTACTATCTTTCAATCAGTATGTGTTTCACCAGTTACTTTTTGGATAGCTGCAAATGATGGACTCAGGCTTTAAAACACAACATGTATACTTTTTTCGTTAAATTATAACTTACAAGTAGAAAATCCATTATAATAAAAAATTCCCACACCACAGTATTTGATAATTGTTTAAATGATTGCATTTAACTTCACATTTTCACATAATTGTAGACAAACTAAGTAGGCATCTCAAATAAACGTATAGAACGATCATCACACGATATTCACTGCAGATTATGAAGCAATATATATGCAGCAGGATGTTATAATTACACAAACTGTTCTCTGTATGTTGTCCCTTAAACACTGCTCATGGTAAGTGATGTGGTCTGAATGCATTTTCATGCCTAGGCTTGGATTTAGCTTGGACTCAATCATGAAACTTTGACTTTAATAGCTCGACTTCTGGAACAAAGACTAGACTCGATTGGACTCCATCTGCTTGGACTCAACTCGGTGGACTACACTATAATACTGCTGACAGGAGTTCAACCCCATGTGACAACAACAGTTTTAGCATTTGAATCGAAACTTCACGTTATCTTCTACAAGTTCCCGTACCAAACACGATCACACTTTAAACCTGAAAGACTTTGCCAATTTGTCACAGTGACTACACGTAGGACACCAGCATACGACTAGCTATGATGTCATCTGAAGTGACTGGTAACTAGTATCAAATGGACTGGCGAACCAAATCCTTGTCAAATAGATTATCGGTAAATTGGAAACTGCACTCAAAAGTTTTACCCCATTTCTGACTCTGCAAACAGCAGTCCTTCTAGCAACATGAATTGTCACTTAATAATTCCACACACAAAAAGAAAGAATGACTACTCACAAACAGAAACTCCTCCCCTGTATACAGCACTACACACACAACTGTGGCTTGCCTCACAAACAATCAATGCTAAACTCGTCCAGAAACCAAATCTAAGATTGCAATACTAAAAAGGTGCAGTGCAGAATCGACAAGAACAGAATCCAAGTTACTCTCAAAGGCGAAGGCGCGCAAATGATAGAACCACTTCTGCCCAGCCCCTATTTATAGTCCTGATGACGTCATGCTGGGTAGTTACTCAGAAGAATTAAGCAATTGCCATGCGTCTGTGCTGTGACACCCTGTAGTTTGATTGGCCTATTTCTCCTGCACACACTCACGGTCACACTGAACATACCACCCTATTGTTGCACACGTAGATCTTTAAATTAGGCTGACCCCTAGGTTATTCTGACAATCTAAGCTTTGCCATAGAGCACGTAAAATTGTACACTCAGTTTATGAGAAATAAACTGAATACCCAGACTATATTGTTGATTGTACAATGTACAAATTGGTACCGGGGGTATTCCCCAATAGTTTACCTACAGCGAGCCAGAGAGCTTAGAATCTATTCAAGTTCAGCATTCCTCGTTCCAACGTCACTGCCCCGTTTATTGGGTTTGTATTCTCAGGTCATCCACCATTGACTCTCACAGACCTTGATGCAAATTCTGCCAACAATACCCAATGAAAAAGCTGCCACAAACAATCCCATATTTGGTGCTGCCCCGCTGCTTACGGATTAGCACACCAGGTGAAAGGAATAATGGTGATATGGGACTATTGCTGGTGCTTTTCATTTCTGTTTGAGTACATGTACTCACCTCAGTGACAAAGTCTTTATTAGGCAAACTCAATCTGTTTGTCTTTAATGAGTGATTGGCTGACAGCGTACAGCGCACACCCAATATGTCATTTCGTTCACATTTTGTGGGGATTACCAAACTATAGACTTTTGGAAACTGTGTTGTACAGGGTGTCCCAAAACAAATGACACCCTAACTTTGATTGCAACTTCAAAAATAACTAAGCTGGCTCTGTACGTTTTTTTTTGCAAGCGGACATTATCACTAGCAAACAAAATTTGGGTGTCGGAGCAGGAGGGGGGGGGGGGTTCGCTTTTTTTTCTCATGAATTTCTATTGAAAAAAAATGTTTGACAGAGCTGGGTTTTTGTTTTGACCCCCCCCCCCCCCCCCCCCCCCCCCTCTGGATCCGCGCCTGTGTAGGCTGGGAATTCTTAACTGTTGAAAACAGCCACTTGATTGATTTGGACTGAAAGGACTACTTGGCACAAAATGTATGTTTGCATAGGAAGGTTTACAAAAATTAACTTTTTTTGACGTGACACAAGAGGGCGCCGTGTAATGACGTCATCTTCACTTGCTTGTGTTTGGCATCCCTCACTGACCATTTGCTGAATTTGAATCTTTGAAACGAAAGTACATTTTGAAAATGAAAAAAGGTCTTCGCTGTCGCCGATTCCGTAAATTTGGGCATAAATGTCAGACACTTTAATGAGCTGCTGTTGGAAAAGTGAATGTGATACATCACTAATGATGTGACATCTAATGAGTAGAAAACAATTACATACCAAACTACGGTACCACCACCTTGACAACCATGTGGTCCGACGTATGATGGTTAAATTAAACAATTCAACAGGTTAATTAAACAGAATATCAGTGAAGGGTATGTACCCTAGTTAAACAAAGTCAAAGTATAACAGACTGACAGACAAACATAAAAAAGAAAGTTAAAAACAAAAATAATTGTCCTACCTACCAACCTGGATAATTGTTAGGATGTTACCGTAAACACACACATATTTTCAGCCTAAGTGAACCTACCATGATACGGGTCTTGACGCACATCCATGGCTTGGCCGGTGTCAATTCTTGCTGTCCTCTTTGGAGGTTTGTGGCCATGAACTTCCTGTATGCATCTTCATCGGTCTCTGCAAGCTCATCCAGCATTGACCAAAAGCACTGTGCCTGCTTCATCAGGTCATGTTGGACGCCTGTCGCCATACTTTACTAAAATTGGAAAAGAAAGGAGGACAATTTTGAAAATGGAATCCACGCGATATTCCAAACGGAGCCCTCGCTGATAAACGGTAAATTTCACTTTTCATCCAGATTGTAAGTAAAGCTTAGTATCATGATCTTCAAATCATAAATCTGTAATTGTATCTCAGGTGGCATAAAGTAATTCTGCGGCCGTTTTGAGGGTGAAATCTGATGTTTTTGTTGGAAAATGGTTGGGTTGTTTTAACAATTGTTTGAAACGCCATGTAAGTACTATCGCCAGATTATGTCCAAATGTTAAAAATAATGCAGAGGCTACTGCTGTGGCCATTGCCACGTTACAGCACCGTCTGGCTCACTGACCTAATAGTTAATGTCCTTCGTACAACTGCATGTGCGCACATCACATCACATGACAGCGATAAGGGTCTGTGGATGAACAGTTTGCCACATGCATGCAAAATCGTAGCAGGGTACCAACGAAATCAAAGAAAGTGTTCTTGTTTTGAAGTAGATTTTTGATTCAAAATGTTGAATGGTTAATGGCATGTTTTGTATTGATCATGTGTATGCTCCAACTTTTGTGCACTTTAAGGAAAGAATTCCATAAATATACATGTATGGACATCACTAATTTTTCCGATAACATGTCCTAAAAAGCCAAATTTTGCAGGGAAAATATTGTAGTATTTACTGAGAAAACACTTGGAACTTTTCTGACCAGTCTCATAATAGGGTTTGTGCACAGGGTGGCAAGTGATTTTCAGGTGGGGTATGGAAGTCTTTCTGCTTTGTTTATCCACAGACCATTGTTGTCATGTGATGTGCACACACGCAGTGGTACATGTAACTCCGATGGGGCTTACACTGTTTACTGAGACTTGGGTAATCGTTATCTTCAGAACACCTCTATTTTTTACCGGTTCCGTTCCGTTCAAAACTGACTTTTGCGTGACTGTTCAGTACCAAAACAACTTTTGCGGGCCAGTCTTTTGTCTTCAGATTAACTCATGTTTGTTGTAGTTTTGAAACGCACTTTCAAAGAAAATGTTACTTTCCTATCTTTTTTTTGGCAATCAGAGACGCAAGCCAGACAGAATGAAAGCCTGATGCTGATTGGCTGATGATATTTTTTTTATAAGCCAATCAGCATGATCAGCATCAAGCCTTCATTGCATCAAGTTTTCACGGTCGCCATAAATTCGAGCCTGTTTTCTGGTTGTCGTTGTCGTCTTTTCAAATGACTCTTTTACCCCATAATTTCCCTCATAAATCGAAGACATGCCCACTTTCCACAATATAATAAACAAAATATTCAAGAAGGTGTCCTCCCTTGAATGATTGGAAAAAAAAGTGATGTACGTATTGAGTGTCATTTAGTCAGCTGTTTTGATGAGTCCTTTCTGCCTTTAACCTTATATAGGAACGGGTTCCAAAAGATAACGATTACCGAGACTAGGCCTACTACATGTACTAGGCCTAGTACATGTACCGGTACTAAAAAATAAAAAGGCGAAGTTGGGCACCAAGTTACTCTGACATGTCGGACGGAAAGAATGCAGCATTCAGCATTTGTGTTCAAAGTCAATGGAAAGTCAAGAAGATTTTCAAAGTATTTTCTAACCACGTTGGAAACGCGATTCTCTGTCCCAGATTCAAATCTTTTAGGAAAGAGTTCCATACTGGGCCATGACCTGAAAAGTACCAAATCTGATGAAGAAACACAATTTAAGGTGTGCAAAAATGCTTAAAATACTTTAACCACCAGTCACACTTGCCAACTGCACTTGCCACACTTGCCAACTGCGCGCTAAAGCGCGCACCCGACGACTGTTTGTCGGCCAACTTTGGCTGCCGTTCTACCTCTGCCGTGATGCAAGTGAAGACTCATAGTTAGTGCAGCAGTGGTGCATCAAACAGGCATCCGGTGCGCGCTTCAGCGCCATGCTGCGCCGCGCCCAGTCAGTTGCTGTGTCACACGTAGCTGCTCTATTTTCTCGTCCACACAACTGACAGCAACACAAGGCCAGCGAAAGATGGCCGTAAAAAAGGCTTCCGAAAATTCGTGATTTTCATGGCAAACCACAACCCATCCAAAACAAACAAAGTTGTTTTCGGTAGTTAAAGACCTACTTCATACATCCATCAAGGTATTTTTTTTCTCAAAAAAAGGATTTCGATGCATTTTGACGGTATTATTTCACGGACAAATCAACTAAAAATTAGGTTATGAAATTTTCGGGTTTTTTTCAACAACGACGAAAGTTTCCCAAATGTTGTCAAAGGAAAGAATGAACCTTCATCTACAAAAAATCTCGTGAACGTGATGTCGTCAATATTTTAAGAATTTGATGTACACCTAATGTTTCCAACAACTTCCATTTTTCACAATGCGAAATATCGTCGCCACTGTAAAGCATAGAGCGAGGAGCCCAAACACGGTGTGACCTTGTGACCCCATACGCCCGATGAATGGTCGAGTTCGAGTATGGCCTGCTTAATATTCATAAGTCATTCATTGTACGTTCGCACGTGCTATTCACAATGTTTTCAAGCCAACGTACGTCAGCGTACTTACTTTCGTTTACACGCGTACATGTGATTGCAAATCATGAAATCTCGCAACGGTCTTCATTTTTTTTAACCGGCGATTTGGACCAAACATTAGAAGTCTCCTGCACGTGTTTCACATGAAAATGAAGCGTATACCTTCCTCTATCTATGAATCATTGGCCTTTTTAAAGAATCCAATGTACACCTAAAAACTATCGGCCCTCGCTTTTGTCATGTTTGTTGATAAAAAATATGATTTTGTTCGACAGGCCCTGACAACACTTTATATTTGGCAAAAGCAGTTATTTTTGGTATCAAAATAAAGCACACGATTTGAACTTTTCACATATTTAGCCATCTTGGCCAAACAGTACATGTATCCAGGCATTTTCTGTGTTTTCTTTAGTCTCGCATAAATCTTGTAAAACCTCGCGTACGCTTTTGGGCCACGCATGCACGACCTCGGGACAAGAAACTGAGGTCAAACAGGGCTGTGTGCGTGTGCGACACGGCCACTGACTGGCGCCATGCAGTTGGCAAGTGTGACTGGTGGTTCGCTGTGTGTGCATGGTAATCGACAGCGCTTTGCAGTTTGTTGGTGCACAAATCTAGCACAGGGCATCATCATGACCGCACGGCTGTCAGTTATGCCTCCTTTTTTCACTGCAATTGTAGGCTGAATCTTCATCGTGGATCGTTTTTTTCTTCGAAGACCTGTGAAGTGGTGAAGTGGGTAAGACCCAGTTGAAATAAGTGTGTTTAGGGGAACAAAATTGCACATTTTCAAATTTTTGTGGGACCTGCCAATGCTGCAGTCCAAGTGAAAAACTTCCTCCAGCCCTAAATGACAACCCAATGATAAAATTTAGGGCTGGGTAACTCCAGCTAGGAAAACGACTGTGTTTGGACAAAAAAAACCCCAAAATGCCGACCACCCTAGTGTAGGCCCCTACATGTATGTCACTTTTGAGTGTCATTAAGTCAGCTGTTTTGGTGAGTTCTTTAACCTTGGGTCCTACAGATAACGATTACCGAGACTAGTAGTACAAAATATAAAAAGGCGATAAGTTGGGCACCAAGTAACTCGGGCATATCGAGCAGAAAGAATGCGGCGATCACGAAGTGTAGGGCCCCTGTTTTGTTTTGATCAAATCAGAGTCAAATTTTTTTTTATTGTTCAAAAATCACCTTTACAATCAAAAGCAGACTTTCCTCAATTCTAATGACACCCGTTTTGCAATTTTGAACAGATTCTTTGGTTAGAAATCACGATTTTCCTGCGCGGTTTGTGTCTTGCGATTCAGCATGTCGTGCGTGCCCGCTCACGGTTCATCGAGTGGTGATCGCCATCTTTATTTTTGGGTAGCGTGTTGTCGCGCCGCGCTGTCATCATCATTTGGCCACGAATTTCCTTCAAAAAATCAAAACCCTGCCCTCTAAGGCTCTATCTATGACATACATGTACCTGTTTATTGAAAATGTCGCCAAAACTAGTTTGGTACGTCCAATAATTTAAAAGTGGATTTTGTTCCCTTATAGCATGGAGGAATAAGTTCTTATTCCTCCATGCTTATAGGAACCGGAACCTACACTACACGATCGCCAAGAATGCAGTAGGCCTATTCAGCGTTTGTGTACAAAGTCTATGGGAAGTCAAGAAGATTTTCAAAGTATTTTCTAACTAAATTGGAAATGATTCTCAGTCCCAGATTCATGTCCTTTTAACATTTTTGCAATGACTGACCTTTATTGAGATGATATATGAAGAAAATGTGGCGTCAGGTTGCAACGTTCTTTCCCCAAACGTTCCCTTTTTTAGCTTTCTTGCTGAACTTCAGGAGTTTCAACTTTCCGCAACTTTTGTTTACTAATCGACCAAGTTGACAAGCGCCCTCTCTAGTTGGACGTAGAAATCTTACGTTCCGAGGGCGCACTTCTGGGGGGGGGGGGGTTGAAAGAAAATTAAAGTAAACCGTTTGGCACATAATTATAATGAATTTGTCTTCGTGCGAGCATGGTGCGAGAGACTACTATTTTGTCAGGCGCGCCCTTTTTCAACAGGAATGTTTAGTTGACAAAGAATGTGCAAATATATGGGGTAAGGCATAATGCCCTTACTTTTTAAAAGTGAAACAAACGACATTCATTAAAGTATTAAAGAACTTTGGCCCCTAGTATGTCTAAACGGGTCATTAAACCTCTCTTAGAGGATATTGTAAGGACAGTAGTGAATGCCTCATATACTGTATTCAGTAACCGGAGAATCGAGTGTGACTGGTCATTTAAACCACTCATTTATTATTATAAAAACCAGCGAATGTGTGAATAAATTTAAGAAAATTGCTGTAATTTGATTCAGGGATACATGTTCAGTGTAAAGGGATCTCGATTGTGACTGCCATATTGGGTTCTTTTTTCCCTTAAATTTAATGGAGGGCTCATTGGCATTTTTTGTCAGCAAATTATACTCTCTGATAGAGGCTCCCTAGGTTGGCTCGTAGTTGAGCATCTTCGGGTCCTTGAATACATGTGCAATTTCTCCTTTTCATAAGCTGATTTTGTGTGAAAAAAACTACGTGTAAATGCTTTCAGGAAACCCTTTTCCTCCGATGTTAGGGTTTCCTTTTTTAAGTCTTAAGTTTTTAATTCCAGTCCATGTAAAAAAAAAAAAAATTTTGTGGATATGATCTGTGACAGTTTTATCGATAGTTTTTTTTTAATTTTACTTATACATGCAGTTTCTATTGTTTTTTTTTTTGGAATATAGGGAGTTTGAGTGTGATTGGCCATTTCCACTCCCCTTAAAGTTTAGGCGCTCCATTATAATATTATAGCCTAGAAGCCATCCTTTGCAAATGTAAGTTCTGTGCAAAATTCAATTTCTTTATACAAGTTCCCTAGCTTGACCGGAAGTTGAGCATCAAATAAGGCCTTTGAATGTGCAATTTTTTTTCTCCTTTTTTTTTTTCTATCTCCAGACAGTAGGGTTTATGTGTTTATTGCAAGTATTCTGTGCATGTTGAATCTCTCCCCTGTTTTTAAATTTTTTTTTATATATACATGTCCCTCCAAATTGCCTTTTTTATAGCTTTGTCCCCCTCAAGATGGTGGAATTTTCCCCTTTTTACCTTGCCAGGCCCTTTCAGGGTTCCCCCCCCCCCCCTGTTCCTACGCCTGAGTCCTAGGTTCCCCCCCCCCTTCTTCCATTTTTTTTTTTACTGCTACATTTGTGTATGTACATTTGTGAATGTGTCCATGTCTGACGTTTTCTGTGTGATAATGAACAAAATGTAGATGTTTTTTATTTATAAATAAATGTAATTTCTTAATGTTCTTATTGTATCACTGATGTGAATAACAATAAAGGTATTTCAATATATAAACGGGTAATTTCTTAGTTTTCAAATTCAAGAGGATTGTGTTGCTTATGTTCCATGAAAACTGAATTGGATTGTATTTTTCGCATATATATTCAACGCTATTGTTTCGGTCATATTATTTGTATTGTTAGACGGTTTCTCATGAACACACTATTTTTTTTAACCATAGACAGCTTCCCTCAAATTTTAATAGACTTGTGTCACAAGGGCATTAAATCTCAACAGGAAACATCAGACACTATATTTAATACACTTAGAGCAGTAGAGTGGTGTCAGCGCCAAAAACCAATCCGAATTAATATAAAGGACATTTACACTTATAATTTTGCGGACTAAAATTTTATTTCAAAGGAGTCCGCGCTTCACAACCACCGGGATTTTGTCCTTGCCATTGTCTAGAAACGACCATAATGGACCGTAACGCTAACTCCTGAATTATCTGATGCATTGAATTCAATTTCAGCCAACAGATTGGTCATGACAAATAGAACAAACACACAGAACATTTAGACAACAAATTGTTGTTCTCTCCGTAAATATTATTTTTGTCAACACCGGGTAAACGCGCGTATCTGCAATCACGGTCTATAGCACACTTTGCCGATATTGTACAGAAACGACATCGACACAAACCTAATGGACACGCCAACTTGAATTATCTGATGCATTGAATTCAATTTCAGCAAGCAAATTGTTCATGACAAATGCGAAAAGCACACAGAATATTTAGGCAACAAAATTGTTGTTCTCTCCGTAAATATTGTATTTGTCAACAGGCAACGCGCGTATCTGCAATCACAGTCTATAGAACAAATCACAGTGAAGAGTAGCAAAACAATCAAATATATAAATAGTTTATCAGTTCAATTTGTTTTGTGTTCATTGGGTGCCAGAAAAAATATTTAAAGTTGTTGTTTGTTTTCAAATGCAAGAGACACCTTGGTGTCGCTAAGCCCACAACAGCAAAACACAACAGGTCCACAACAAAACAATGTAATCAAACAATGATTAATTCAACTTATTTGAAGTTGTCTTATTAATCAAAGAAGCTGTCTTCTTGCAGACCGAAGTTGGTGCCACCAGAAATGCCTTTTAAGATAAATCCACCGGGGAACAAGTGAAGACGACTGTTTTAATGCGAAATTGTAGTCTATTCATCCCCGTTGCCACTTTATAATACAAAGAAAGAAAAGAAAGGAAACACTGCACCCCTCCCATAAAATGCAATCTAGCCCCGCCCCTCCACAAAAGGAATTGGCAACAGCTGGCCTGTCGGTTACCACTTTCTTAATCCCCCAACAATAAATGCTTCTGGATCCATCAGCGATTTAGCTGTGTAATCATATTTTTAATTGCATGAAGTAAATTTGTGATTGGGTTGTTATATTTTTTAGGAATTTCTTTTGCTATCCTCATTATGAAGCCTGCATGCCTGATTACAAAACCCAAGTGGTGACCCAGCTGTAGAATTCAGAGGCGGGAGATTGGTCCATCACTGAGGGAGGAATGGAGGCATAACACAACAATCATCTAACCTCAAAGATTTCTCCTTGATTGACTTAAGTCATTGCATGGAATGATTTATTACACGATAATAATCATACAAAGTACACAATGTCAAATATAATCCCTGACGTCTTAAACTTTTCCCCAAATTTCTGGAACAAAGGAAAAGAAGAGATCAGAAATGTTTCTGCACCAATAACAAATAATACAAATAACATACAAATTTCAACAAAAATTGCGTTCACAGTTAACCATATCAAAGCCAAATCAACTTACTTCCGCCAAACGGTGCAAATATCAGATTTTTAATTTTTATTTAAAAATTAAACAAGGAAATTGACTGTAGCAGGATTACCATTGCAGATCACCGTATCGGAACAGGAATCCAGAGGTCACCAGGTCAAACCAGCTCCAGTCAATGTCTTTGTTCAACTTTCAAGTTACACATGTATTATAATGCACCGAGACAGTTCTCCTTTGTGGTTTATTTTTATTACAACATGTAACTTAAGTTGCACGAAAAGATCCAGGTCAACTTTCAATGTCTATTTGATAATAACGAAATAACGTTTGGGAAAAACAAAAGCACAGTATTAAACTGAGGACATTTCAATAACCAGTTTTTCTGTGTAACGGGAGCACAGTCACTGGTTGGAGAAGTGTCAGGAACTATGACAATGTTCTATATAAAGAGTGAAAGTTTTATTTCGCTCAATTTCAGCAAACGTGAAACGGAATCCAAACTATCAGCAGATTATCTTGGCTTGGAGTTCGTGCCCGAGTGATGACCTTATCTTACAGAGTTGCACATTAATGATCACAAGATAAAAATCACAATTATGTAGTTTGTAAACCAATATGGCTTGAAGGCATATAGGAACATTTGTATTTCATGCATTTTGCTTGTTTCCAATACATGTAATATCATCAATGTTCCACTGAAGAATATTCAAAATGTAACATGCTTTGGATATTACACTTTTCAAGAAAAGAGTGAAATATCCATTCACAAACTTTTGATCGCCAAACACGATTTCGTCCATAGAACTCTTATTTCCAAAAATCAGTCAATTGACATATCATTGAAAATCACCTACATTTCTTGATTTCTTCTTAATGACAGCAATCCAGATGGAATAATTTCACAAGGTGTTTAGTACCAGTACGATCTTTAATCCAAGTGAGCTTTTTGATTACAATTTGGTATGTTACTTTTGGGATAAATACAAATGATCCCATCCCATATCCCTTGAAATGTGTAAATTAATGAGTAAATAAATCCCCGTCATTTAAAATTGCAATCAGTTTGGCTTTGCAGTTACAGTGTGTAAATCTCATTTTAATCAAAATCTTCTTTCATGTGTAATGCCAGCAACAACAGTTAAACATTATTTACATTCAGATTTCCAATGTGAATAAATCAAAACATTGATTCAAAGTATACTTTTTCTCTCCTGCAGAACTGCTTTTACCAAATTGAATGGTTGCATTTGGGCATGTTATAAACGACTGTTATCACCTGGGCAACTGCAAAATATCAAAACTGTTAGAAACAAAAATGTCAGTTTTTGTACAGAATATTGATCATACTTGAAACAAACAAATCTAGTGTCAATCAATACTTTGAAGAGGCTTGCATTGATAAAAACAAGCAAATTGTCCACTTGCACCTATTTCAACATAATCAGAAACACAGAAACATGTGCGTGTATACAACAATTGCAACGATTGGTCCTGAATGAGCAAACACGACTGTCCTCTGACAAAAATGCATCATTTGACAATGCAACATTCTACATGTATATATTATACATGAATTGTTTGACAGTATGAACACTGGTTTAGTAACTCTCAATATGGACATAGGCCTATAGTTGAATAGTAAACAAAATCCATGTTATACTGTCCTTACACAACTGGACCACTTTAAAAGTATATTACATAAACAGTCAAGGTTAAAGATCTATACAAAAGTTAGCAAACTGGAATCATAATTTTTGTCATTTTATGCATAATTTACATTAATTTACACAAACGATTTGATAAAGAATGAAGCACAAACACTCAAAAGAAACGTCTGTTTGAAAGGCGTGAAGTTGCGAGAATTTTCTGAATTTGTACATAAGGCAACCGCAAAACAATTCAAAAGTACCCGAGGTTTGGAGTATTATTCTGTATACTAAGTTTTGCACAGCACTGGTCTATGGAAGGGTGTCATGCAGCCATTTGCGTGTGGTCACATTAGTTTGTTTGAATGCCATATTATTACATTGATCAGATAACAGGGTAGGAGGAGGCCTTTGTCACAAAAGTTGAAGACATCTCACACAACTTTTCCCTATGATGCGATACAAGATATTTTCTCACAAGAAATGGAAAGGAGAGGTGGATTCTCCTGTTTAATTGACGATTAGATTGTAGATTTATAATAGTACTCAGAGGTCACCCAAGATACAAGGTCAATTTAATGTCACTTTCAAGTGACACCCAGAATGCTTAGTACAGTGCTATTATGTTTGAAGATTTCAATGAATCATTTTGTACAGGAATTGTTGATTGACTTTTCACATTGATTGATAGATTAATTGATGAATTTAATTTTTTTTTTGGGGGGGGGGGGTGGAGGTTCAGTAGAATGAAGAACTATGCTTGGTATATTTGTATTCATAATGTAAGAGGATTCCGAATACTCTATTTGTATTGAAACTGTTTTATTAACTTTTTTCATTTCATTATCAAGCCCCTTATTGTCCTCTGAAAGTAAAATTTTTGTTGTTATTGACTGTTGTTGTTTTCGTTTATTTTTTTAAACTCTTTTTGTGGGGGGGGGGGGGGGGGGCACAGTGCATTGACTTCACATAACATGACCCATGATAGGTGCTACTTGTTTCGATGAATGCGGCTCATGAGCGTGGTGCATTCATAGGGAACAAGGTGAGAGTTATGACTTGGTGGGAGTTTTTTTAGGCTTTTGGAATTCTCCCTTGTTTGTTTTCTTCAGGTGAGGGAGGTTTTCACTGACAACTTGTCTGATGCACTCAGCATTGAGGCCGATGTTACAAAGTCTCAAGTGACGTAACTTAGGGAGACCTTGGAGATGACAGGTGAGAGCCCTCACTGCATCCAAACTGAATGCATTGCCATCAAGGGCAAGCACTTCTAAACCATGCCCAGCAGGAAGGATACTGATCAGGTCCTTCATGACATCATCTACCAACCTGCATGCATGGAGGAGCAAGTGTGTAAGGGATGACGTGATGTGGCTGACATCTCCCAACCGTGCATGCAGGTTGATGTAATACAGTGCGAGAACTTCCAACCTGCATCCTTCCAGTGCCTTCAATAGATCAACAACCTCATCCGGTGATCGTTGGATCATACACAAACCAAGCCTGCGTATTAATTTTTGTTCCTGCATGCGGACACAGCTGTTTGATACATGCTCCACGTCAAACCATGACTTTGCCTCAATGTAAACCATACACGTAACATATAATTGTTCATCCACCACACCAAGTGTTTCCTCTAGGAGGCTAAGCTCCTCCCCCTCCTGCTCAGACAAGTAGTACACAACCTCTATCCATCTAGCTGACTTCATGCCGTCACTCAGAAGAATTCCCTTGAGAATGGTAAGCTCCTGCTTTCTCATTCTTATGTGAAAATATGTATCTTCAAGTGGAGTGACATGCTGTAAGTAGTAGCTCAGTGATCTCAGGTCTTCGTTACTCTTGCAGAATACCTCAGTTGGTCTGACAAGTTTGGTAGCCAACTCCTCTGAACCAGACTCCAACAATGACAACCGAGCCAATCCCTGCAGTTCCTGCTTATCACCTTGCATCTCTCGTATGTGATCCAGAATGAGACCAGCAGCCTGCCTTGATCTACCGCAACAAAATCTCAGCAGGTTTTCCATTGCAAGAACATTGCCTTCTCCAATCTGCTCCAAATGATGACGGAAATTGTTTACGTCATCTTGTAGTAATTTTACCAGGTGACATGCTGCAAAGTATTCTTGGATGGACTTGTGGGGGAAAGTGACCAACACCTTTACATCCAGACCACATGTGAACGTTTCACGTTGAACGAAACCCACACGACAACCCTCAGCTAAGGCAGACTGACAATCCTGAAATTCAGTTTCATCAAACATGAGTCTTTCCCCGCTAGAGTCTTGTAACCCTTGCAATGCAACACGCCCCAAGTCATCAATGATGGACATCATGATGGACATCATGGTGGACATCATGGTGGACATCATGTGGTGATCACCCATTTCTTCATAGCGGCGAATGAAAAGAACCTCTGCAAACTTTGCAAACAGCTCAGTCATTCTCTCAGGCAATGACTTTTGATTCTTCCAAACAAGGTACATCATCTGGGAAATGATTGGAACTTTCGACATTTCCCATAGATGTTGATTGGTTTTCAGATATAAAACCAATGCCTCTCCCATGTCAGCATCATCAGGAAGGTTTAATCTGATGAACTGATCTCTGGCTTGTGGATTGAAGCCAGTTGTCTCCACCTGGGCAAATTTTGGGTTACACCCGAGTACTGATTCCACCATGTGTGGGCGGGTGGTGACCAGCACAAAACTTTTAGTAAGGACTCTGTTGCGTAAGATATCCTGAACCCTGTACACGCCCTCCTCAGATTGCAAAACATGAGATGGAATTTGATCTACTCCATCCAACAGCAAAGCAGTGCGTGATTCATGATCATCAATGAACCCTTTCACTATGTTTTTTGTCAGTTTGGTGTTTTGTGCTAAGATTTGGTCAAATATGGCATCCAAGACACAACTAGATTGCTGCATTTGCCTCAGCTTTATCAAAAGCACAAGCTCGAATCTACCAAGAAGGGGTTTTGAACTGAGTGTGATGGAGGAGTTTGCAATTTGCACTAACAGGGTTGATTTACCCGTCCCGACCCCACCATAAAGAAGAACCTTGATTTCCTTAACTACTTCTGGATTTAACAATTCGTCCAAGGAATTCAGGCTAATAGTTTCTGTGATATCTAACAATCTTTCTCCCTCTGTTAAAGTCACTAACCTCTCAGATTTGTTTTTGCTTGGAATGTTCTTTATTAGATTGAGAGGAACAAAGAACTCCTCAATACCCACTTGACATGACTGCAGTGTAGGGTGTGCAGGAATAGTTGTTGCAGTTTGCTTGTAGTTGTCGATAATTTCCTGTTGTAAATCCTCAAAGGTAACCGGCCCTTGGAGTCCAGAGATTTCTACAACAAATCATACAATGATAATGAGTCATTTATTTGAGTGCAGATGAACATGATTCATCACAATTCTTTACAGCCAAAATTCAACAAAGCCGACCAACTGCTGGTCCATTTTCCAAGTCCTTGCACCACTTTTGTTTGCATTCAGTTATTTTATTTGTTTTTTTTTTAACCTTTATCCACATAAGCATTGAATTTGTTTTAGTTTCCCATTTACTGCAGTAAAATGTACACTTAAAAATTGTGCCTACGATTAATATTTATCTATCCAGATTTTGATTTTGATTTTGGGTCCCCGAGATCACAATATTGATAGACCACAGTTACATGAGGTTGATGTTACGCACAAATAGCAACTACTTTACACTCTTCAATCAAATGCAACTGTGCTGACATTTTAGTAAATAAGACCATGAAAGGACAAACTGTTGCTGGCGGTACATTTAAACAAAATTTGACAATACTGTGCTCTATTTCGAGCCATTTCTGTCCCGTTATTGTCAGGAGAAATTTTGTTGTCAGAGTGTGACTTTACGTTTACCCAACACTCATTGGACCAAACACTTTTTAATTCCCCATTGTTCATCCGTGGACGTATTCATGGGTGCATGAGGACATGTGTCCTGTCCTTTCTTTCCCCCCCCCCCTTCCCTAAAATAAAAAAGGGGGATGCAAGCAGAAGAAAAGTTTCCAAACGTAACATAAATGTTGAATAAGTAGATTCTAAAGTAAATCTAAAATAAGTTGCATAAAAATTGAGTTAACGCGCCTCTCTCTTTGAATATGGTAATGTAATTGGCTTTAATGCAATATCACATATGTGTGATTCCCTTTCAAACTTACTGACGACTGAAATTTGGTTACTAATAAAGGAGACATGAGCCTTAAACAGACAGTAATTCATGTTAACTAAAGTTTTTCATGTAATTTCTGTTATAACCCACCCCTAGCTAATTTAATGGCTAAAAAAAGGGGGTTTGATTCATCATTCAATCATATGTACTAAGGCTACTAATGTCATGAAAACAATGACTGATGTGGTTCATTCTGATACCTACCTATCAGGTCTTCAACAATGTCCCTTCTGCCGATCTCCATCAGAGCTGTGCATAACACGTCCCTCTGATCCGTGCTGGTGGATTGTTGGTGCCTCCATTTGACCAGCATGCTGATGATCTGATTCTCAGTCTGGCCTGGGTCATCCATCACAATGCGGTCGATCTCTGCAGCCCTTAAACCGAGATGTGTAGCCAGCTTCCGCCATTCGGAGCCAAGCCTCTCAGAGATCATGCGTAGATCAGGATCACTGATACCTGCAAACAGACATGAATTATTTAATATGGTAAAGAACATTGCTGTAAAAAACTTGTATGTTCTTGTATTTTATGATCGTTAAGATCGGGCTAAACATGAGAATTATACAATCGCAGATATATCTCATTCTATCCCAACCCAGTGTTGTAGTACTCGTACTTGGTACTCGTACTCGAGTACTACTCGAGTACTCTTTTTGGAGTACTCGTACTCGTACTCGATTGTCAAAATACTCGTACTCGATATGATGGTACTCGTACTCAAGCAGCAAAGTACTTGTACTCACACTTGTCGAAATTGTACTCGATTCTGCAAAGTACTCGTACTCGAATAACAGAATCGATAAAACAAAGTACTTGTTCTCGAATAGCGGTACTCGATAAAATAAAATGGTATATTACTTACGTAACCACTGCCTTATTTTATTGATACTTTAAGTTTCAAAAGGTCGATTGTGGAGAAATCGAAATGTTCTCTACTCTACGCACGTCCGGACAAACACAATTAACAGCTAGCCGTGAGTGGGTCTGTATATAGGTCTGACTGGGCCTGGGCCAATTACGCACATTGATCCATTTGCCGTATGTGGGCACAATGGCCAATCACACTGTACGCCGAGGTGTTCCTCAAAATGGGCGTACGATTAACAAGGGTGATTGGAGCAAAGCTGTTTTCTGAACCCCGGTTTCGGTCCTATAATACGGGTCCAGCCCCATTGCCAATCTGCATGAATGGAGAAAGAGACACAGCCGAAGCCGAGGTTTGAAAAACGGTCCCTTGTCTGGTCACGGCAGCAGGTCCACAGCGGCCTAGCCTTAAACAGAGGCCTAGGAATGGGAAGCAGACTAAATGCGTAGACAAGCACAAGAAAACGCGAATCTGCCGTTTTTTTTTGCATGCATGTTGCATGTGTACTTTGTGTACGTGTCACACTGTTGACGTTTGCTTATGCTTGCCTGTGAGGCACTTTTCACTTTGTTTGTACCCAAATTGTATATGCTGTTTGTGCAAAGAACCCCAAAATACATGTGTCATTTCGTCTGTGTCCTCTGTTGTGAAGTTTGGGTTCAAGGATCACAGGGAATTTGTCCAAAATGGTGTGGAACGCCACAGTGCAGCGTGCATGTTTTATGTGCTGTTCGCATATCAGAATTATGGGACAACTTCGAACTTCATCTTCGAACTTCTTCAAGCATATGCAGAACTTCATCACACATGATTATGCGGAAAAAACACCCTGCTTTTGTAAGAACATTAGGAACAGTGGTTGAAACTAAGTAGAAATAAAGAAATCTTTTCTCAGCCATTTGAATGTTTGTTGTACTTGTGTTTTTTTTAGTCTGAGGAATCCAAGGACCCAAAAATACATGAATAAATGCACAACATCCACTGTAGATTAACTTTATTAAATGACGGTTGTCTGTATCTCAGCTGTGTAGCATTTCCTTGGAAAATACATTTGAGCATGATGTTGCAGATTTTAAAAAAACCAAATTAATTTCAAATAATTGAGAAAAAAAAAAGCTTACAAAGACAAACCCTAGTTTGTATCACAAGTGATTAACAGTACACATAATATTAGGTGTCAAGCACAATGTACCCGGTGCCGTATTCGGAAATACAAGTACTTGTACTCGTACTCGGAATACAAGTACTCGTACTCATACTCCTACTCGGAAGTACAAGTACTCGTTCTCATACTTGGATGTTCAAGTACTCGTACTCGGAGACCTGTTCTTGTTCTCAGAAGCACAAGTACTCGTACTCATACTTGACAACCTAGGTACTCAACACTGTCCCAACCGTTAACTCTATCAATGAGGGAGCAAGAAGATTTCAACCTTTCTAGGAACACCTTTGTAATGACTTTGGTGACTAATTATCAAAGATTTAGACACATATCATACTCAGATACGTGTGCACAAGGTCAGGTGTACGGTCAAGACTATTTTGGGGGCTAAAACAAAAACCAATATACTGCAAGTCATTTTAGTTGAAGTTTAGATGTCCCCCCCCCCCCCTTTTCCTGGTAGTGTGACCCCCTGTTTGTTTATTTTAGCCCACAAATCCCCCCATATAAAAGCTGCCACATTGTCATGCCAGAGTCATTATTACCCAGCAGACCAGCAGTGAGACAACTTAACATCATATAGTCAGTATTTCCTCCTACCTGGAGAGTGTCTTCCTAGCTGTTTCTTTTGTCTGCTAGTCCAGTCATTGGTGAGTTTTCATTACTTTTCTTATTATTGTATAGTTCCAGTTTTATATTTGCCTTTATGATACTCTATTATCCAGTTTAGTATCATTTTAGCTCCTTTTAAGATTGAGTTTTTTTCCTATACATGAAATCGTTTGTGTCTCTGCTCTTTTCTTAGAAGTCGTTTTAACTATAATTAACCTTTTTGTTTAGAAACTTTGAAACTTTTGATTACTGTTTTAAGTTTTTATTCCAACTTGATTATTCTTTTGGCTCATTTCTAAACATCTTGATGTGTCCATTCTTTGAAAGTATTGAAGTTGTGTGATTCTAATAAGTTTTGTAGTATAAGTTTGTCCAAGTTTTAATTGCTTGAGTCTAGGATTACCTGCATTTAAGTTTCATGTGTATGTTATCCACAGAGTTTTAGTTCCGTTTTCTTGCATTTTGAGTGGATTTTCATATTTTTCTAGATTTTTTTTAGTTGCTCTTTTTAACTACATGTACTTGTACATAGACGTAGACCGGTATCCATTCATTTAGCCTAGACCATGCCTTAATCCTTTGTTCCCTCCTTCTCAGAAGTAATAGTTTATTGAGACAGTCCAGGGGATTTGCATACCCTTATGAGGCCCATTAAACTGTGCAGTATTTTGCAGTCCATAGTGCGTTAATCCCTTGTGCACACGGTGGCAAACTTGCATTTGGACCCTTTTGTTGCTTAGTACATGGACTGTAGTTTCATAGGAGTTTTGTTTTATAGGAACTGTTTTTAAATTGCCATTTGATTGTTTTACTTTCTTGTTGCAGGTTTTTAGTTCATTCTTGTGCTTTTAGAGTCATTTTCCTTTAGTGCTGTGTGGGTTTCCTTTTGTTTCCCCTTTTTTCATTTGAGAAACCTAATTTTCGGAAGGATAGACATTGTATAGTTTTTTTAATCTGTTTGAATTTAAAAAAAATTGAGAAGTCTATTTTTGTTTCCTTGATTCCTTTTCTTTCTTTTTTTTTGTCCCAGTTTAAAAAGCTAAATCCCGACATAATCATTGGCACCAGGTTTTTTTCTCTAGTCATCCATTGTTCTACATTACATACACAGTGTTCTGATCAGAGAGATACTGTTCGCAGATGATGCTGCTCGGAGATCACACCCTCGAGGTGGTGGAGGCCTTCACTTACCTTGGCTCCACGATCTCCTACAGTGTACCAGGCCTGTGTGCTCAGCACCTTACTGTATGGTAGCGAGTCATGGGCACCATACACATGCCAGGAGCGACGTCTGATTGCCTTCCACATGCACTGCCTTGGGCGAATCCTGGGCATCAAATGACAGGACCACGTCCCGAACAAGGATGTCTTAAAACAAGCAGGCACCCAAGCATGTTTGCCGTACTCACACATCCACGCTTGAGATGGCTCGGCCATGTGAGCCGAATGGAAGATGGCCGAATCCCCAAAGACATCACGTATGGACAGCTTGCTACAGGCACCAGCCCTGTAGGAAGACCAGCCCTGCGTTTTAAGGGTGACTGCAAAATTGACATGAAAGCCAGTGACATCAACCCAACTAGCTGGGAAGCCGTGGCAGTAGACAGCAGTGGGTGGAGGCATAAGGCAGGCACACAGAGGAGTGAGCAGAAGAGAGACGAACAGTGGAAGGTGAGAAGAGAGCACAGACGACAGAAGCCTGGCATCAGCGCTGCACAGCCGGACTCAAGTTTCACCTGCAGCAATTGCAACAAGGTATGCGGCTCCAGGATTGGGCTGTACAGCCACAGGAGGCACTGCAACTCTACAAAGGACTGACCAACGGCGTAAAACTCCATTGTCTCTTGAGACAGACGGATGCCAACAACTCGGGATCACAATCGTTTGAAACTTTACTTACCATTTTTAGAAAGGTGGTAACATTGCAAAGGCCTGTCATAATGTACAATCTTGCAGTTCACTCAGAAACTTGTGCTTGGTATAGTTGTATCTTGAAATTAAACATTAGGTGGGAACAACTCCAATAATTAATAGCGGTCCATCGCAGAATACAATCTTAACAACAATATTATGATGTAGGACAATAGTATTGTTGAAAGGTGCACATAACTCGCTCATTTTACGAGTTATGTGCACCTTATGTGTGCCTTTTTCAAAAGCTGTTTCATAATGGAAAAATTTGGGTTGTTACACACATGGATGTGCGCGTACTCAGATGCAATACAGGGCGCGTACATGCAGGCGTACCACTACCAGCGTGGCCACTCCTTGGGATTTGTCCGTAAAAAAAGACTGCTGATTTTGGTCGGTGAAGTTACACAGTACACTATTTTAACACTTAACGACTCAAGAAAGACGTCTCTCAGATGTCGTGTTAAAGACATAGTGGGTTTTTTTTGGGGGGGGGGGGTGTATGCATGCTAGTGTATGCGTGTATGTGGGGGGGGGGGTTTGTTGGTCACGGCCGCTGTATATATGAGACTAAATTACGACCGTAAAACGACATCTTAAAGACGTCATGTTTTTGTTGGGTTTTTTTTGGCGGGTGGGAATGTGTTTTCGGGTCAGGAGAAAGACGTCTTTAAGACATCGTTTTTTGGTCACGGCTGCTGTGAGTACATACCAGACTAAATAAATACTGTAAAACGACATCTTAAGAAGTTGTGTTTTTGTATGTTTTTTTGGCGGGTGGAATGTGTTTTCGGATCGGGAGAACTGAGACATCTTTAAGACGTAGTTTTTTGGTCACGGCCACTTGTACATGTATATACGAGACTAAATAACGACTGTAAAACGACGTCTTAAAGATGTTGTGTTTTTTGCTGTTTTATGGTTGTTTTTTTTTGCGGGTGGGGATGAGTGCTCGGGTGGGTAGAAAGATGTCTTTAAGACATCGTTTTTTGGTAACGACCGCTTTAGTCCACACGACTGGAAAACGATGTCTTAAAGACGTCGTGTGCCCACTGGGATAAAACAGGGGCTCGCTAGCTGCGGGTCTCTAGAGGGACCAGTGAGCTGGCCTAGGGTTAATGACTTTATAATACATGGCCTATCACTTGAATTGTGTGCACTCTGTGCATGGTATATGGCCAAGAAATGGATGGGTCCATTATGGGTTTGTGAACCTACAGTGAACCTAACCATAATGGAACACACAGACAGACACACCCAAGTTTGTTCATGGTGTAAATCAAGGATTTTCTATTGCTCCTTTTCTCTTTTCCTTTGTTTATACTCTAACTTTTTTGCAACAGTTTTCCGTGGTTTTGTACATGTTTTCTTACCGAGGAGTTCTCGATTGGTTCCCGTCCTCTATTCATCGATGATGTTTCACGTGTGTGTCCTCGATTTACACCATAAACAAACGCACGCACCCACACCCAGTCGTGTTTTA